TCACTACTTGACTAGCCTTTTGGTCCCAAGTACACCTATAAGCGTACTCCATTCTAGTCGAAATTCTAGTACTACACTATGTTTATTTTGATTCGATAGTACCAGAGCTAAGTCAAAAAGTTGAGTACGTTTCTTCGGGAACTTTTAGTCTTAGAGCTACATATCTCTATGGATATACGCAGCAGTACCCCATTCCATCGTCCAACATATAATTTTGCAGAACCGTCTTGGCAAAATCTCAAATAGTCCAACAAATTATTTTTACTCTCCTGCCTTTTTGCACTCCCAACTAACACAAACATTAATTACACAGAAAAAGGAAAATCCTTTCTTTTCTCAGAAAAAGAAGCTTTCGCTCTTTCAAAGCTGACGTGTTTTCAATGTTCTCATTGCTCCACGCACCGTTTATCGTCTTGGAAGAGGATAAGCACAGCTTCCTAATGAAAGGGAAATTGTGTGTCTTTGTGATCGATCGCACTGTGGTTGCACTTCATGATGGCGTTAACTGCCAGGGCTACGCTCGGGAACTCGACAAATCCGGTGCGACGGGTGGCAGTCCTTGGTGATGAATGCAGTCATCAGTAGATCCTTGGACGGCATAAGAGTGGGGTATTGAAGAAGTGGAGAATGTGATTTTTGCTGGCCTGGGTCAACGAAAGGAAGCGATTGGAGGCACTGAAGTCCTTGAAGCTGATCGAATTGTCCGGCAGGGTGTAGCGGTTGGTGGATTCTGACAAGTAGTTCTGCTTGGAAAATGCAATCTGAATTTTGCTACCATCATTTCCATTCATTCAATGTTGTTCAAGTGCTGGATGCTGCGTTCGACTGGTTCGACTGCGATGGTGTCTCCCATCTGGACCATGGCGGAACCCTCTTTGGTGTTCAGAGACTTTTGACAACATTTTCGTACAGGCAGAACAGATTGAACATCTTATCGGTGTTGGCTGTGTTGTTATCGAGTCCGTAGACCATCATCACTGCGGCCTGTTGCTGTGCCGGTTGAATGAAGTTGGCTGGTCCGTTTCGGGTCAGCGCTGCGTCCTTCATCAGTCCGACGTGTGTTCCGGCCGGTGATGGTTTCCAGTTTTCCGACGGATGATACTCGGGCGGTGAAAAATTCGGTGCAAAGCCGTTTCCTCCGCCGGCTCCCAGAAGGGCTGGTTGACTAATGATTGACGTTCGTTGTACGGGGTCGGCCTTCCGCCGAAGATGGTAGGATCGTGTAGCAACGGAGCTCGTCCGTTGCATGCATCCTTGGAGACGGCTGCATCTAATGTGTAGTCCCAACTGGAGTCCGTGTCGTTTTTGTAAACATTGAAAAACAAAACAAAAACAAGAGCTGTTGAAATACCGGGTTGCCCAACAAGGCATTATTAGCAAGAAAACAAACGTCAGTTCAATGATTTCTTGGCACTCCCGGCACAGCTGCGGCACACTGAGACAAATGTTGGCGCAAAATAAGTGTGTAGAGTGCTTAAGGCACCGACAAACCGACATGACACATAATTCTGACTTATGCCCGAAAATCGTAAACGGCCGATTTAAATGTGCAGTGATCCGATCTGTCTAAACCATAGGATTTTTTGATCTAGATAAAAATAATTTGTTCAGAATAGATCAGGCATGAACCAATTCATAACTTTTGCATGAGGGTTCATGGCTTAGCTAAATATTTCCCGTGAACGCGGAGCCAGATGTCAGTAGTGTGCTCTGGTCAGAAATTTTATTGTTTTTGCTATGGTCATTCATGTCGGTTTGTCGGTGCTTAAGGCCCAAGCGCAATGACGGCGGAAGCGGAACGGCAACGGCAGCGGAAAAGGCCGATCTGAGTTAGAATCAAATTGACTTCGGTTAGGCATCTTGATGTCATTAGTGACAACTGTCAAACTTTCCGTTTCCGTTCCGCTTCCGCCCACATTGCGTTTGGGCCTTTATAGATGTACTTGGGACCAATCCAGCTTTCCATGCTCGTTAATGACGGCCTGTTTGTATGAATAAATGTATCCTTCCCTGTGCTTTTTGCCACTATCTGGAGGTTCGAATGTTGACCCTCCCCCCTTTCTCTCTCCCAGGAACAGAAGAAAATGGAACAACATACGCCCTCATACATGCAGGCCGCTATTGCCGAGCATGCACAGCAAAAAATAAATTTTCAATCAGTCGAAAATCTGATGTAATTTTTATGGCCACAAAAATAAACAAACGCGACGTGAGATTGGCGCCATCTTCTTTATGGCAACACTGCACGAGAGAGAAAGCATAAGTTCAAGAGCAAATTTTCATTATGTCGAAAGTAACATTCGCACCGATCCGAGAAAAATAAAGTTTTGTTTTGATTACCGAAAAGTTATTCCAATTTCCAATTAAACACATATGGTCTCATATCACTATTGTATTGTTTAACAGGATTTTAATCATACAAAGCAGATCGCTAGCTTTCATGCTAAAAATACTGGTTTTTTAGTCAATAGTTATTATAAATACGTCGTTTGGTGACTTAAGTCAAAGTGTATTTACCAGGATATTTGGGAAAATTATCAATCTTTAATTAAAGCCCGATTCAAAGTAAATTTGGACACATTCAAGTGATCATAACTAAAGAATTAAACAACATACACGGTTGATCAAAACGTCAAACAAAAGGGTATTTATTCAGCTTTCAAACGATATATAAAAAATTATTACATTTCACCGTTTCGGACGAACTGTCGCACTTTACTTGTGATCGATGCCATCATGATCTGCACAGTCGCTGGCGATACTGTACCGAATTGTGAAACGAAAACTTCGAGGATGCGCTTTAAACGCATTTGTTTTTCCACTTTAAACGCATTTGTCACTTCTTTACCGCATCCTCGAAGTTTTCGTTTCACAATTGCCCAATATTTGTCGATAGGTCTGAACTCAGGGCGACGAAATTAACATTGTTTGCAGCAAACCATTCTAGTACCTCCTTAGAGTAGTGGCAGCTGGCTAGATCCGGCCAAAACATAACGTTGGTCTTGTGTTGCCGAATGAAGAGTAAAATCCGCTTTTTCAGACACTCTTTAATGTAAACCTTCGACGTCATTGTGTGAGATGTGAGGAAAAACCTTGGTTTTAAGGCCACAACTGCAGATTCCTTGCCAAATCATTAGTTTCCAAGCAAACTTATCAGCAAAAACCAATTTATACCTGGAAGGGACATCCCACGACCAGTTGCAAGGTAAAAATTTTGTCCGGGGATTTGTTTATAATCCATTTTGACATATGTTTCGTGATCCATTAAAATTCAGCCATCAAATTTCGTGAAAACTCGTTCGAATAGTAATCGTGCTCGCTTTTTGGCCACTAAATTTAGTTTCAGGGAGCGATTCGAATGTTTGCTAACACAAAAAGACTTATATCCTTCTCTTGAAAGGATGTTACGCACGGTGGAAAAGTTGGAATCGTATTTCTATGCCAAATCACATATGAAGACACCTGGGTTGCTTTTCACGTACCTCAACACCTTTCTCCTCAGCTCTTTGTCCCTAGTGCAACTTTTATGATAGTTGCGCTGTGCTCTTTCCACACTCAGAGTATCCTTGCAACGTTTGATTACAAGACTCACCGTTGACTTTGGGAATTTTAACACTTTTGCTATTTTTGAGGCAGACCACGAAGGGTTCTCTAGATGTTTGTGCACAATTAATTTTCTTTTCTCAAGTTCCATGATCCGTAATTTCGGGATGCGTCGATCAATAGAGAAAAACTTTTCACCAATTTCTTCGTCAATGAAACATCAACAAATGCCTGTCAAACGTTTTTTGTTCCAACCACCAGGGGCGCGGTGGTGTATTAAACCGTGCGTCCAGATTTACTTTGAATCGAGCTTTATCAATAAAATTCTTACGTGCAGCCCATTCATCATTTTAGGACCACCGAAATCATCTTAGCAACAAACAGTTCGATTTATTCACTTTAATAATGAGAAAGCGAAACGACAAACGTACACTTTTCACGGGTTTGTCTGTGCTGTTACTTATGACAAACGGCATCTCCATAGAAATCGGATGACTTAAGTAACATTGAAAAATATTTTAATCGGAAGGTGATTACGTCAAACAGCAATTTGACTGGTAAATAAATTTAAAAATGCGATGTGATCCTATAATCGGATAGTATTGCTGATTGCATCTGAAACTGGACTGTCCCAAAAATGCAAAAAATGTGATAAAAGTGCACGTTTCCGTCAAATCGTTTTGATGTCTTCGGAGCACTTATTGCTTGCATCATAAGGAATAAGTGCACCGAAGACGATTAGACGTAAACTTGCAGTTTTATCACACTATTTAATAATGAAAACGCGCTTATTAGTCCATTTTGGTGTGAAACGCGAAATATATAGTGTAATAGCAGGAGCATCGATTGACACTGGTAGCTCGACTTTATTTACTTTTGTTACTTTCGAGCTAATCCTTAGCTGTAGCTGATCCATGTAAACTATACTGTCGCTAGCCGAGAAGCCGAAAGACTCGGCTATTTTGTCTTGGAATTAGTTTGAAACGCGAAAGGACTCAAGGCCTGCTGAGTTTCTGTAAATAGTCACGGATGATAGAATGTTTCGTTGCACCCAGCGCAGTGCTTCAATGCAGTCCTTTATTCCCTAGATTACTTTGGCGTTTTTACCACCGGTGCTCAGAAATCCCAACGCACCAAGTCTGTAGTTGATAGTTACGATAATCAATTTCTGAGGACCTTGAAGATAATCATCGTCCATTCCAGCATTGCAGCCTCCGCCATGAATAACGATCAATACCAGTCACTGTCCGATCAGTTCCTGGGTGTAAACGGTCAAGTACAGTCTTCATCTCCGATGAAAATCACAATGAAGCAAGAATATGTTCATTGCACTCGAAATTTAGGAAAGCAACTAATTTGAGCAACCGCGTGGCTATTTCTTTGAACGGATGTGCTTTCAATAGATAAAGATAAGATTAAAGGTGAGTTGAAGGTTCATGATAACGAGCTTGCCGAGCTTTTGAAAGTGGTTTTGCATTTATTTCGTTTTGTACAAATAAATCTTATGAGTAAGGATAATAGAACGGATCGTTTGCGTAACGTTCTTCCAAATCTTTCCACAGATCGATGCGTTCCTGGTTTGGATTCTGTGTCACAACTAGATTTTCGCCAATGTCAAGATAGATCATGTCGTTTCCTTGAATCTCGGACCAATGGATGTTCTGCAGATCCGCATCCGAATTTGGCGTTGGATGCCCGCGGATGGCAAAGTTGGTCCAAAGGCGAACCATGCGCTGGCGAACAAAGTTTGCCGGATTACTCGGAAGAATCGGCGATATGGGCAGGTTTGTTATCGACCACAGATAGGCCAGCTCATCCGCGTGTACAGCTCCAGGCATATCCGTTAGTAGTAGCATTCGTTTCATAAGGTTCAGATCGCCTTCGAAGGTAAATTTGTAGTAGAAAGTAGGCTGCGAGTTGTGTTGGGCCGTTAGGCGGACGGTTTTATCTATGGCGTATAGGAATTGTTGATCCGTGTGAAATTTGGTCCACTCTAGCATAATGTCTGGTCCGAGGGGACGGTCCTGCCAGTAGAAATTGCGGAATGCTTGACTAACTGCGTTCGATTCGGGAGTATTGCTGGGGATGTTCCAGAAATGTGGAACGAAGAAATGTGGGTTACGAGTGAATTCGTTCCATACAGTTGAATCCAACAGATGCTCCCGGACCATGAATAGACTTTCGGCACTAGTGTAGCCGATCATCATTGGAACGTGGTTGTAGGCTCCGGAATGCAATATTTCTATAGGACGTTGAGTGAAAAACGTGGGCTCTGGGGAGTTGACCGGTTCAGCGCTTGGAACGTACTCGAAGGGTTTAAATCCGCGAGGAATGGGAATGTCCGTAATAGATGTTTGAAGAGCGACGAATTCACTTATCGGAGTGTACCGTAAGAGTCGGGTGAGCTCTTCGCTTTCACGTGGGTATCCAAAAGCATCAGCAATATTGTGAGCCATTTCCCGTACGTTATACTGGAAGCCCCATGGAACTAGTGCCGTACCCGACTGAGCGATTGCCTTGTGGAAGAGTCCGGTAGCCATCGGGGACAACACCAGGAAGTGTACCAGTACTCCACCTGCACTCTCTCCAAAAATCGTAACATTGTTAGGGTCTCCGCCGAATGCCGCTATGTTGTCACGAACCCATCTCAAAGCTTCAACGCAGTCCTTCACACCCCAGTTTCCTTGGGCATGGGTGTCACCCGTACTGAAGAATCCCAGAATACCCAACCGGTAGTTGAAGGACACAATAACCACATTTTCCTGCACCAAATGATCCGGACCGTACATCCTAGAGTCACCGGAACCCAACACAAAGGCTCCACCATGAATCCACACCATAACCGGTCGAGATCCGATCAAATTTTGTGTGTACACGTTGATGAAAAGGCAGTCTTCGCTTCCTCCATAATCGCTGAGTGGACTTAGCGTTGGACAGTTTTCCCCATGATCGGTAGCATCACGTACACCGGCCCATCCACGATGTGGCACTGGATTACGAAATCTTAGATCACCTACCGGAGGTTCCGCAAATGGTATGCCATTGAACTGGAAGTAACTACAGAACAGACCGCAGCTGGCAGTTATTCCCTGATACTAAAGCTATGAACTTTAACATGGTTTTGAATGTTATTATTATGGTGGCACAGGTTTTTATAGATTCGGAAAGTCCATGCAGATTAGTCCATTTCTCCGATAAGATACAATTTGCGAACGTCATCCCAAAATTGAAACAAACAGTTATTTAGTGAGTATTGCTTTATTTCTCTCACTATCTTTGGTGGTGGAGAAACAACAGTTCACTGCCACGGGTAGTAGAAGGGATCGTTGGCGTACTGTTCCTCCAACTGGTACCAGGTGTCCAGTCGTTCACGGTTCGGGCGGCTACCAGGTAGCAGCGAACTATTGATTTCCAGGTATTCCATGTTCTGCGTGGTGAACGGTGACCAGCGGACGTTCTGCAGAAGGCTATCAGCGGTTGGAGTTGGGTTGCCATGGGTAGCGAAATTAGTCCACATGCGAATCATTCGATTGCGAACGGCGACCGCTGGATTGGTGGGCAGGATGGGGGAGATTGCGAAATTGGTCATGGACCACAGGTATGGCAGTTCATCGGCGTGCATTGCTCCCGGCCATGCAGTAAGAAGAGTAACGCGTTTGACCAGGTTAAGATCGCCGTCGTAGCTGAATTGGTAGTAGTAGGTTGGCGCAGTATTGTGCTGAGCAGTTAATCGAGCAGCCTTGTCGCAAGCGTAGATAAACTGTTGGTCGGTGTGGAATTTGGTCCATTCCAGCATAATATCCGGACCAAGAGGCCGATCTTGCCAGTAGAGATCGCGGAAGGCTTGGCTAACGGCCGTCGAGGCAGGACTGTTAGCCGCAATGTTCCAATAGTGTGGCACGAAGAACTGAGGATTTCTGATAAATGCGTTCCACACTGTTGAATCAATGCGATGCTCGTGGATCATAAACAACGATTCGGCATCATTGTAACCGATTATAAATGGGACGTGGTTGAAGGTTCCGGCCTTAAGAATATCAATGGGGCGTTCAGTTAAGAAGGTTGGTTCTGGCGAGTTGGCAGGTTCGGCTGTTGGGACGAAATCAAACGGGCGGAAGCCACGAGGAATCGGAATGTCTGTCCATCCTTCTTGGAGGTTGACGAATTCACCCTTTGGTGTATATCGAAGACGTCGTACCAGCTCGGCGTTATCGTTAGTTGGATATCCGAATTTTTCCGCAATACGACGCGTCATTTCCTGTGGGTTATACTGGAAGCCCCATGGAACGAGTGCAGTGCCGGATTGAGCGATAGCTTTATGGAACAATCCAGCAGCCATTCTAGATAGCACCAGGTAGTGCACGGCAGCAGCTCCAGCACTTTCGCCGAAGATCGTCACATTATTCGGATCACCACCGAATGCAGCAATATTGTTTCGCACCCAACGCAGAGCTTCCACGCAATCTTTCATACCCCAGTTACCTTGAGCATGTTCATCTCCGGTGCTGAAAAATCCCAAAACGCCCAATCGGTAGTTGATGGTAACGATTACAACGTTTTGTTGTACCAAATGATCTGGACCGTAGATCCACGATTCACCCGATCCTCCGGAGAATGATCCGCCATGAATCCACACCATGACTGGACGAGACCCAACGACCTGCTGGGTGTAAACATTCAGAAATAGGCAGTCCTCTTCTCCTGAGTATCCATCACCAAAAAAGCTACTCGATGGACAAGATGATCTGTGTTCACTGCCATCCTTGACACCTTCCCAGCCGCGATGAGGTACGGTATTACGGAAACGGAGTTCACCGACTGGAGGCTCTGCATACGGGATGCCCATGAACGAGAAGTAGCTGCAGAAGAGTCCACAACTCGACGTAGCGCCCTGGATTTGACCACCATTGGTGGTGACGACGGGGCGGGCCTGTAAATAATGAAGTCACTACGTCTGCCTGCTAGATTTGTTTGCTAGATGAACTTACTGGATCGGCCTGCACGGCTGCGGCTAGCGCCAACGCCAAAATCGCTGCAAATTTGATCATCCTCTTTGGTAGGTTAATTGCATGCTAAACGGAGCCACCGACGGCTATTTATACACTGTCACTATCCAACACTTTTAGCAGATAAGATTAATCGAATCGGCCATAAACCGCTTAATGGAAGATTAACGCTTGTGCGTCGATGAGGATTTGTGTTATTGTGTTTTTGAACGCATAGGCAAAGATAAGCTTCTTATCGTATCTGCTAGGGGGTCAGTCATCAAGAAAGAGCAGGATTAGTTGAAATAAATTACAGAATTTTTATTATATCTATGCATAAAACAATTTAATCTAATTTACGTCATTGGATACTCGAAGGGGCCGTTGGCGTAGCTGCGCTCCAAATCGTACCAGGTGTTCAAGCGGGCTTGGTTTGGACTGCTGCTGGCAATCAGGCTTTCGTTGATTTCCAGGTATGCCATATTTTGATTCTGAATTGGGGCCCAATTGACATTCTGTAGCTCGTTGTCGGAGTTGGGCGTCGGATTTCCGTGAATGGCAAAGTTGGTCCACATACGGACCATGCGGTTTCGGACCGCAAGGGCGGGGTTTCCGGGAAGAATAGGTGTGATAGGCAAACTTGTCATTGACCACATGTACGGTAGTTCGTCGGCATGTATTGCTCCCGGCCATTCTCCGAGGAGTAATATACGCTTCACCAGGTTCAAGTCGCCGTCAAAGCTGAACTGGTAATAGTAGGTCGGAGCAGTGTTATGTTGAGCGGTAAGCCGTACGGTTTTATCAATGGGATAAATGAACTGCTGATCGGTGTGGAATTTTGTCCATTCGAGCATAATATCGGGTCCAAGTGGACGGTCTTGCCAGTAGAAATTACGGAATCCTTGACTGACGGCGTTGGATCCAGGAGTGCCTGGTGCAATGCGCCAGTAGTGGGGTACGAAGAATTGTGGATTGCGGGTGAATTCGTTCCAGACGGTTGAGTCGATTTGGTGTTCATGGATCATAAACAATGATTCGGCATTATTGTACCCGATGATCATAGGTACCTTGTTGAAGTTTCCTGCATTCAGTAGATCAATCGGACGCTGTGTGAGGAAAGTGGGTTCTGGGGAATTAGCTGGTTCGGCCGTGGGGACAAACTCAAATGGTTTAAAGCCTCGAGGAATAGGAATGTCTGTCCATCCTTGCTGCAGTCTAACAAACTCTCCTTTCGGAGTGTACCGAATCAGACGAACCAATTCAGCATTATCATTGGTTGGATATCCGAATGTATTGGCCACGTGGCGTGACATCTCTTGTGGATTATATTGGAAGGCCCATGGTGATAGAGCGGTTCCTGACTGTGCGACAGCTTTGTGGAACAATCCAGTAGCCATTGGTGATAGTACCAAATAGTGTACGGCTGCTGCTCCAGCGCTCTCACCGAAGATGATGACATTGTTGGGATCGCCTCCGAAGGCAGCGATATTATCGCGGACCCATCGCAGAGCTTCAACACAATCCTTCATACCCCAGTTTCCTTGGGCGTGCTCATCACCAGTACTGAAGAATCCGAGAAGTCCCAACCGATAGTTGATGGTGACGATCACCACATTCTCCTGAACTAGGTGATCTGGTCCGTAGATCCACGAATCACCAGAACCTCCTGAGAACGATCCACCATGGATCCAGACCATGACGGGGCGTGAACCGATAATGTTTTGCGTGTAGACGTTTAGGAACAAGCAATCTTCGTCTCCTTCGTAGCTATCACCCACCAAGGCGCCAGATGGGCACGAATTGCGATGTTCGCTACCATCTTTGATCCCTGTCCAACCACGATGTGGCACCGTATTACGGAAACGCAGCTCCCCAACTGGTGGTTCACCGTATGGAATGCCCATAAAGGAGAAGTAGCTGCAGAAGAGGCCACAGCTGGAGGTTACACCCTGGATATCACCTCCGCGAGTTGTGATGATTGGACGGGCCTGTAAGGGTATGGTTCGTTGACGGTTTTATTCGAATACTACGTATTATTTGACAGAACTTACCGGATCGGCCTGGGTGGCGGCCACCGCCAAAGCTAGTATTGTTGCGAGCTTCAACATTTTCGCAACAGCATAAAATGCAACTAAGCTAAGAGTTGACCGGCAAACCTGTATTTATAGCTTGCCAAATCCCGCGGAAATTGGTGTGAATACATTTTTGGGTAGATATCAAAGATAAGCTAAGGTTCGGCATTGTATGAGCTTTATTTTACAAATTGTTCACATCTACATGAACCCCAGCAGTCGTGCGCAGAGGGACAGGAATTTCCAGAAGTCAAAATCTTATCTTCTGATTGTATGAGCGGGGTAATCAAAGGAGTGTAATTTTCAAATCACGCGACGTTGATAGATTTTAAGAGTTTTGTAGCTCATATACCGAAAAGATCAACGTGAGCATCAGCTCGAGGAATCTGGGGTGCTAGAATATTTTTTCTTTGATATCTTATCTTGGTTGGTTCCAGTTATACGTCGATAACTACTGTGGGCGAATAGCTACAGGCTTCAGTTTTCCTCCAGAAACCTTCAAGAGATGAAGAAATCCCTGCTGGCTGCGCTACTGGTCCTCGTGGTAGTATCCGCGCAAGATCGACCCACGATTAGTTCTCCTTCCGGACAAATTCAGGGCACCGTAGAATCGTGTGGACTGTTCTGTTCGTACTATTCCTTCAAGGGAATCCCTTACGCGCAACCTCCTGTTGGTAATCTTCGCTTCCGGAATCCGGATCCTCATCCAGGATGGAGCGGTGTACGCGATGGAAGCCAGCACGGTGCGTTCTGTCCTCAATATGAGCTGAATACCTTGGAGATCATCGGTGATGAAGATTGCCTGTTTCTGAATGTCTACACCAAGGAATTGATAGGGAACCGTCCTGTGATGGTATGGATCCACGGTGGAGCGTACAGTTCCGGGTTTGGAGATGCTGACTTATACGATCCGCAGAAGTTGGTGCGGGAAGATGTGGTCGTTGTCACTATCAACTACAGGCTGGGAGCGCTGGGCTTCCTGAGTACTGGCGACCAATATGCCCAGGGAAATTGGGGACTGAAGGATTGTGTTGAAGCACTACGTTGGGTACAAAAGAACATTGCCGCGTTTGGAGGTGATGTAAACAGTGTGACTATATTCGGAAGCTCAGCCGGAAGCTCGTTGGTGCACTTCCTTTATCTATCGGACATGGCACAAGGACTCTTTCATAAGGCAATCGCCCAGAGCGGAACGGCTTTGGCTCCTTTTGCATTCCAGCCCAATCCTAAATTCTACGCAGATAGATTAGCCAACATCTTCGGTTTCTCGAGCGATAGTGCAGTCTACGTGGATCAGTTGAGAACACTACCGGCTAGCAGTTTTGTTCCGTTTCAAGAGGCCTTGTATACCGTGCCGGTGCCGAGGTTCTTAAGACCGCTGGACTTTGCTCCATCACTTGAACCTGCAAGCTCACCAGAACCAAGAGCTTTGCGTGATATCCCATTGAACCTGATACAATCCAGTCAGCATAGTGCTCCTCTTATCTTGGGTTACAACGATCTAGAGGGGTCTTTTTTCACAACTTTGGAATTGTTGGTAGATCAAACCGTCTTTGGTCAGTTCAATGATAACCCTCACCTACTGGTACCATTTTTCTGGAACATCAACGACAATACACCCACATCGAAAGCCGTGAGCAACGCATTCCAGCAGCATTACTTCAATGGTCAACCGATTGGTCTGGCCTTATTCTTCGAATGGAGTAAATATTACGGTGATCATCAGTATCTATTTCCGATTCACTATACAGCGAAACTGCACGGGCGTGCATCGGCACCGGTATACTATTATCAATTCTCCTACGATGGAGATCTGAATTTATACAAGAAATTGCTGGGTATAACTCATCCCGGAGCGATACATACGGATGAGCTTCCATACATGTTCGAGCTGGCTACGCAGATGGGAGTCGAGGTGCCTCCGGGAAGCCATGCGCTCATTGTAAGTGATCGGATTGTTCGGATGTGGACTAATTTTGCAAAGTATAGGTGAGTTTTGTTGAATTCGGCGTCATGGGATATAATTTAATGATGCTTGTGTATATTTTTGATAGTGACCCATCACCCAGCACGGATCAATTGCTGCAGAACTTGATTTGGCCTACGCTTCAGGAGGGTTCCGGTGAGGTAACAATGCTTGATATTGGACAGAATTTGGTAGTTACGGATGCGTCGAGTTCGGAAATTTTTCAACTGTGGCAGAATCTTCAGAATCAATACGCTACCAACCCCTTTCTGTAGAATGCTTTGCTCATGCAAACTACTCCAGAATGTCAACATTCGTAAATATATTTTTCGATAATCAATTACAATAAACATCCATACATATATTCTTTACATATATCACGAAGTAATTTCTTCATTGGCTGTTCGGTGTGTAGTACATGGAGTCGATGAAGCATCTAGTGAAGTCTCCGACCACTTCCCGATCGGGAACGGACTGCGCTACACCGTAGATGGCCATTTTTCCTTCTACCGGCTTCTCGGGGTTCTGCATGATCAACGCGACTTTGGTGCGGATGTCGTTGATGAACTTGTCAGCGATACCATCTTGAGTATGCATGTAAGTAACGCAGATGTGGATTCTGTGAATAGAACGATAACAAGATAGGATACGTTTTATGAGGAGAAAAAAAATCATCTTACCCAGATGGGAACTGGAGGGAATTCAGATTCCATCCTAAAGTATTCAACTCTGCCGATAGACGGAAAATGTCGAACTCCTTCGAACCGATAGCAACCACGCTAGTGGCCGGTGTTCCAAAGATGTAAATGTTGTCAATTTTACGAAGTCTGAAAAACAATTCATTTGATTAACTCCCCAATACTAACCTACTGCGGCAATAGTCGAAAACTCACTTGGTTTCAATGTATCGTGCGGTATCCACTATCCGTTTGGTAGCTTCCACGTATCCATCGAGCCCGAAGTTCATCATCGTTGCCCAGGTGGCAGCAATAATACCACCGGCACGAGATCCGTTCACAGTTGGCGAACCGTACACACCTCCGGGCCATTCCGTCGTAACGGTATACTGGTAGTGACGATACAGTTTGTCTGAGTACAGAATTACAGATGATCCCTTAGGAGTGAAGCCGTACTGTAAGCGAATGAGATATGTTAGCTGATTGTTAACTTCAAGTTGCTCAATGCCACAAACCTTATGAGTATCTGCAGAAATACTGGTAACTCCATCGACGCTGAAGTCAAACGATCGAACATTGTAACCGGCACGTCTCATAAAGATGATTAGAAAGCCTCCCAAGCAGGCATCCACGTGCACTGGAATGTTGTACTTCTTACCCAGCTTTGCAATCGCTGCAATATTATCCATAGTTCCATACGGATAATTGGGAGCCGATCCTACCAACATCACCGTATTACGGTTGATCGCTCGTTCCATTGCCTTAATATCTACTTCGGTGGTTGAAGGATCGACCGGTACCGATTTGGTGAACATTCCAAAGTACTTGGCTGATTTATCGAAGGCAGTGTGTGCCGTTACTGGTAACACTATATTTGGCTTCGTGATGCCTTTCACGTCCCGTCCATAGTCCCGGTACGCCTTGCAGGCCATCATGATAGACTCCGTTCCACCCGTAGTCATCGTTCCGCATGATTTGGGGCTTCCGTTGAACAGCGTAGCCGTCATCCGTATCACTTCGGCTTCCATTTTGCAAATGCCTGGAAAAACATCCGAATGTAGCGGATTGGTGTACGATGCTTTACCGTACACCGCGGTAACCAGTTTCACCAAGTCCGGGTTGAAGTAGTAGACCGCTCCGGATATGAAACCCTCCTTCCATTTGTAGTGCCCAAGGGCAAGATATTCATCGACTTTCTGTAGGATTTGATCTTGCTTAAGACCAGCCTCTGGTAGAACGGTGGTGAATTGGCCGTACTGTGCGGCTTCCTTCATGAAACCTTCGTTGATTTTGGCGATCTCACCTTCGATCCTTCTCCGAACGGCTGGGACTTTGCGGGCTAGTCGAAAGAAGTGCCGTCTTATGCGTGAATGTAGACCTGGAATTGTGAGTAGTTGAAATTATTTCACTGGTTTTGTTTTAGTAATCTAGGTCTAGAATATATCATAAGTACTTATATGTAACTATTTAGTCTCTTTCAATTCAGTCGTCTTTCACCGCTCATTTAAACTCTTGCAATTTCAAAATGGCGTTTTCAACATTATTTAATAAATCGTAGCACGAAAACATCACTTCTAATCGAAATGACATCCGAGACAAAGTGTTAAAAATTAAAATATTAAAATATGTTCTTGTTCAATTTTTTTAATATTTTTTTTAAAGCTTATGAAAAATGCAAACTTTTGAAAGATTTGAAACCTTGGACACTTGAAAATTTACATGAATCGTAGAATAACAACTTTTGATTAAATTTTTGATATTTTTTAAATTTGGATTTTGGATAACTTTTCATTAAGAACCAAACATATCCATTTGTACCGTGAAGATGACACACTCGTTTAGGAAATATTGAAACTGCGACTTTCTGCCGACCCTCAACGTATTGTTCTTTGAGCACTTCCACAGAATTGTTATGCCCGGGGAAGTAAAGGGTGTGTTCGATAAAAATGGCACACCGAAAACCTTCTGTAATTTTTGATCCTGAAAATTTGAGTAAATCTTATTCATAGTGGCTTGTTTACATCTGTCAAGTTTAATCAAAATCCAGAGGCGTCCCACCAATGGATCGCTAAAAAGCTTGGATTTGCAAATACAACTGTGTCTCGTGTGATAAGAACCATCAAGGAGCGCGGAGTGCCTGAAAGAAGGAAGGGAGTGGTCGTAAAAGTGGTCCAATAGAGATTAGTGACGTTTAACGCACGTACACTAACGGAGGTCTATCGCCGTGTAAAGTTGTGTATTATTTTCCTCGGACTAACGTTAAAATGAATGTAATTCAATCTGTCAAAATGAGTTTGACAGCGGTTTGTTATGTATTTTCCTCGGATTTTTACTACCACAGTTTCACACAGCACACCAATACAACCAGGCGTGAAAATCTCTATGGACAAAAAATGGCCAGGAAAGTGGTGCAACAGTTCAAGAATCGTCCAAACATGTCAATTTGAGATGTCGCTAAAAAGTCCAAGGTGTCAGTCGGTTTTGTGTAAAAAACCATGAAGCGTGCTGGGTTAAATGTTTATAAGGTGCCAAAAGCCTTAAACCGGAATAAAGAGCAAAACTGTGAAAACCCGCACCCGGAAACTTTACCCGAAGTTGCTCACCAAATCGTGTTGCATCGTGATGGATGACAAAACCTACGTCAACTTCCTGGGCAAGAATATTTCGTTGTTAAGTATAAGTTCGATGTTCAATGTCGGAGGATGTTCGAAAGAAGAAATTATCGAAATTTGCAAAGAAGTTCCTGATCTGGCAGGCGATTTGCTGATGTGGTAAAATAAGCGCTCCCTTCATCGCTTCCGGAACAATCAACGGTGCGATTCACACGGAAGAGTGCCTTAAGGAGCGTCTTTTGCCATTCATAAGGAAGCACAAAGGATCAACTCTATTTTGGCCAGATCTAGCATCCTGCCACTACGCTCGTAACGTGTTCGAGTCGAGGGGGAAGACAGTGAGAAATTAAGAGCAATCCAGAGTAACTCTGAGGAACTCTTTTGCTCTCTGATGAACGATTTTATTATCTCGATTGTTTTGACGCAGCCCAAGCAATCAATGTTTTCGGTGTAAAGGAACGTTAGTTTTTTCAGCCGGTGATCTATGCCGTAAAATACACTCAATTCATCGGAGAACCTGCTAGCAAAATAAACATCACGCAATAACGTTGTTATTTTTATACAAAGTAAATGGAGCTAGGGGGGGGCGTCTGTGGTTTGGTGGAATAGTTTGTACGTTTGTATTTTCCTGTTCTAGCAACCGAGAACCTCACAGGATTCATCCTCAAGTACATGTTCCCACCGGAGCTGGTAGCCGGAAGGGTATATTCATTCGCTTGCTTTAAGCATCTGGATCTGCAGTACTACGGTAGCAAGATCCTGGTGAATTTCATTACCTTTGCAAAGAGAAAAGTGCCCTGCAGAAAGCTATCATCAGAGTGATTTAAGAAAATATCCAAAACTTTAGTGAACTGGTAGAAAACGAGATCATTTGATGATGATGATGATGGTCCCACCTCTTACCTCTACAAAGGTTTGAGCTGGACGATTTATCTTTAAGATAATTAAATATGACATTTTAACCAGGTTGGCAAACAAAATCGAACTGGTTTCAGTTACAGATATAAATTCCCTCTAGAGTTTACAGTTGCTTCACAGCGATATAAATGTGGAAAAGCTCAGGCGTCCACCTCTTAGTTCGCCTTTTTGTCGATCTAAAATATTCATAAGTATTGCAAGCAATCAAGAGTTAATGAACAATCAACAAAGCATCCTATTACACTAGCAACCCCGCAATCTTTTCATTTCCTTATTTAAATATCCATCCATTTATTTTCTTCATTCATTGTTTCGTTTCGTATTTGAACTGACATTTGCATGGACAGATTCCAAAACTAACGTTTGCATTTAAAAAAATGGACAAAAATTGTCGATTTATTATGGGTTTACCTTCACCCGCACTGACGAAACTACCCATGCAGCATCAATCATAGTAACCCATGAGTCAGCAGATAAAATTTGACAGCTCTACAGGGCTGGTAGCGAGTCACTTTTTAGTGACTTGGTCACTTTTTTCAAGCAAGTCACTAAAAAGTCTCCTTTTTTAAGGCCGAGTCACTAAAGTCACTTTTTCTTGTAATCAGTCACTATTTTAAACTTTTTTTAGCGTGAATTTATGTCAAGATTGATCATTCTTCTTGCAGTGTGTAGGAAAGGCCTAAATTTGGTTCTAATTTTTGAACAATTCGAAGTTGACGACCTTGTATAGAGTTTTTTGACGTTTAATCGTTTTTCTCTATCTAAACTCATTTGGCTAAATAAAATTCCTTGAGTTTTCCAGGTTTTTACACAACATTGACGGATAATTTTCAGGTTTATAATAAGAAAGCTATTTATGAAATGCGTTAAAAATATGATTTTTTAATGTAAAACAACAACAACAACAACTTACGCAAACGTTAAAAAAACAGCTTTACTTCATTTTCGTAAGTCTAAGATCACAACATTTTTAATGTCTTGAAGTTTCGTACTAGCAAAATTGTGGAAACTTTAAAAAAGTTCTATTTATCTCAGAAAAAGTTCTAGATCTCGAGATCTTTTGGAAATTCCAGAGATCATAAGCGAAAGTCCCAGACAATTGGATTGGTTTAAAAATCTATAAGTGTGAGTTTACGCAAATTCAGGTTAATTCCATGATGTGCTGAAATAAAATCGAGAACCGTTAAGATGTTCCGAAAGATTCAGTACAGAGTCCTTCAGAATATTTATGAAAATTTCAGAAATATTTCAGAAACTTCACAGAAATCCAGAGAATTCCAGGGAAATTTAATGGTGTTCACCAGAATTCAATTTATTTTAAAACAGAACCAAGATCTTCATTAGAATTGAGTGCTTTAGGGAAGCTCCGCGAGAACATAAAAACAGATCATAGAATTAAAGGGCAGTTAAAAAATTTTCAATGAAATTGCAGAAACCTTAAAGAAGTTTCAAGAAAATTTCCGGGAATTTCCGGAATCTTCGGTTTGCTCAGAGAAAATTTCTGGAACGCAATAAAAATTATATGAACATCCGGAAAATGTGAGAGTATTTCAAGATCTAAAAAAAATCGAAAATTTAGCTAAGTTGATTAGATAACATCAACGAAGTTCCATTATTAAAAAAAAAATGCTAGAACTTTTAGCAAGCACCGATATTTTCAAGAAATTCCAGAGAACTTCTAAGAAATTTAAATATTTTTAGATTGTTTTGTTATATTCAGTGAAGTTCCGAGTACTTCGAGGACGATCAGATAACATTACAAAAATCCCATAAACTTAAGGAAATTTTCAGTGGCTTACAAGGAGTTCCTAGGAATTATGGGATATTCCAAGAATTCTATGATTGATCTGAAAACATTCGAAGATTCAGGGAATTATAAATATATATCAGAAAATTCACCGGAACATTTGATCAATTTAGAGAATTTAAGGTTAGCATAGAAAACTTCAGAGCTGGACTTTCCAGGGAAAATTAGTGATTTAAGGCAAAGTTCCGTGAGCGTTTATAAACTTTATAAAACTTATGGAAAATTGTATAACTTAAAGGCAATTCACTCAACACCAGTAATAGTGTGGGTTCTTTTAAAAAATACTAAGAGATTCAGGGCAGTCTAGTGAATTTTAAGGAAATCGAGAAATATTTTGGGCAGTTTTAAAAACATCAGGAAACTCTAGACTATTATTGCATTAGTTTCGAAAATCGACAAATCACTGAAGTTGAAAATCATAGAACTACAATAATCATTTCGTTGTGGGAGCTTAAAGAAGTTTCTGAAATTTCAGAACAACTTCGAAAACTTCACAGAAGTACAGAAATCTTCAGAAATTTTTCGAGAACTTTACAAAAGTCTATGGATCTTAAGGGAAGATCCGAAAACTCCAGGAACTTATATGGACATTTCGGGAGATTTCAAATAAGTTTAGAAAAGCTCAAAAACAAGGGGATTTTCAGGGGACTTCAGTTCCTAAGTTTCACTAAATTAGCGGAAAATTTCAAGAAGTTCCCAGATTTTCAGAGGACTTTTCACATAAGTCCAGAAGTTCACGGAAGCTTAAACATTTTTAGAACAGTTCAATTAATTTCAGGGTAGTACAACAAGCTTCATGAGAACTGTAAACACTTTAGAGAAGTTTCGAGAACTTCAAGAAAGATATTGATCTCGCTAAAAAGCTCTGCAACAAAAACTCCAAGAAAGAACAGATATCCTCAGATATCCTAAAATTACATAAATTTTAAAAAAGCTTCGAGAAATTCAGTGAATTGTTAAGATTTTAGAGAAGATTCATGATCGTTAGGAAAATTGTTGAAATTTTAGGAAGTCCGAAAAAGTTTGTAGAAGTTAAAAACA